ATGGGAAGGGGTATCAAGTGATGCATCTTTCTGGAGGGTTTTCAATTCCATACATTTTGGTACTAAATTTTAATCCCCAAGTTTAACTTGAAAATTGACTTTTTTGCTACTTTGACAGGCTGTAGAACCTGAACGGTTAATTTTGAGGAAAACCGATCCTACATTCTTGTCTTAGATTTTCATAAACTATCATTTGACACCAACTTTGAATTTAACCGGACACTGAATTTTTACCTGGAATTTTTGATCAAGGATTAAATTCAAAGTTGCTGTTAACTGATAGTTTATAAAAATCTAAGATATGTTTTCCTCTAAAATTAACCGTTTAGGTTTTACAGCCTGTCAATTTTGCAAAAAAGTCAATTTTCAACTGTCAATATTTCCAAAACAGTTGAACTTAGGAATTGAAATTTAGTACCAAAATGTATGGAATTAAAACCTTCCAAAATGATGTATCACTTGACCCCCCTTCACATTTAAGATTTTCTAGGGGGTGGTTGTGGGGGCTGGGGGGTTAGAGAGGGGAGGTTTATTTTGCATAAAAACTCATCCCCCCTCAAATATAGTTGCGTGTTTCAGGAATTTTTTCGATTTTTTTTTAACTCCGAGATAATAGGGGTAGTAAGTTTTAAAATGAACACCCTGTATACATACATTGATCACATTTGCGTGAGCCATTTTCGACATATCTTAGCTGAAATTATAAATAAAGTTCCTTATGGAATTTCTTTGCAAATTATTTATAATTTAACCTAAGATAGGTATGTCAAAAATGGCTCACGCAAATGTGATCAATATACATATATGTATATAGTCGCCACCACAGATATTCGAGATTCCTACAAAAAATTATTTCTTTGTCGGCGATGCTCGCATAAACAAAAACCGCAGCAAAAACTCTACAGATAAGGGTTGAGAATAAATTTAGTCCAAGAGCATCAATTAAATAATATTATTGTATTGTTCTGGATTCGATTAAGTACTTAATTTCTTGCATTAAATATTTGAAAGATCCTTTAAGAAAATTGAAAAATAATTTTGAACATTATTTACAACAATTTAAACGGAATAATTTCAAACTAATATAATCTTGTACTCCCTACACGTGCTCCCTGACTAAATGCAGGCCGGCTGATAATATAAACATACTTTTTTGTACGAATCTCGAATATCTCTGGCGGATACTATACCTATTCGGAATCAGGAAGAAAAGATCTTTCATTTCATCACAAATATACCCTGTATATTCCATTAAAAAAAGTCGAAGTTGTCTACGTTTCTCCATTTTCCGATGCCATTTTGTTTTTTCTGGTAAGGTTAAAAGAAAACATAGAAAAAAACTGTCAAGTTTTGTATTTAATTTTTTTTTCCTATCCTTAATAGTAAAGGCTGTAGGTATGGGCTCAAATATAATCAAATACCCTGTACCTACTACCTATTCCTATTTTCAAATGACTTAAGGCCGATTTATTCACCTTCTGATGAACTGTCAGGTATGCAATCTGACGGATAAAAAGCGATCTGTAATCCCATTGGTCGATCAGTTATCCGCCAACCAATAGAATTATAGAACGGTAAATTAATTTTTTTAGGAGTTTTTATCGTCTGTTACATAATTTATAGTGTGTTTATTTTAGTGGCATGCAGACGTAATAATTAAAAGTTGATGAAATTTTTTTTTGCCTCGACTGGGATTTGAACTCAGGACCCCTGCATTTCCAGTGCAACGCTCTAACCAACTGAGCTACCAAGACCTGTTTCATTTCTACCTTGTCGATCAAGTCTTTCATCAATTTTTAAGTTGTTAGTTGTGACCATCGGCAACCTTCGGCGGTTACCGTTGGTTGGGAGTGAGTTAGGAGGTTAGTTAGAGCGTTGCACTGAAAATGCAGGGGTCCTGGGTTCAAATCCCAGTCGAGGCAAGAAAATTTTTCATCAACTTTTAATTATTACGTCTGCATGCCACTAAAATAAACACACGGTAAATTAATCTTGCAGATAGTTACCAGCAAGTTTATCTGAAGAAGAATAAACCGGGCCTTAGTGAAATTATTGTTTTCTTATCTGATTTTCGCTAACGACTATTTCGATATTTAAACTTTGAATAGACGACTATTAATATAATTGTTTATTGGAATATTCGACTAGTTAAATATTCAAATATTTGAATATTTGAATATTCGATTATTCGACTATTCGAATAGTCGAATAGTCGAATAGTCAAACATTCATTCAAATATTCAAATATTCGAATAGTCAAATATTCGAATATTTGAATTTTTCGACTATTCGAATAAAATACCAATCGACTATTCGAATACTTAAATATAAAAATTTCGAGCTTTACTCCAAAGCCCTCAAACTGAACCTAACCAAAGCCCTCGGTTGTTCAGTCAGGGCCTACTGTGGCATACCATCCTCTCAAACTTACAGGGGGAGTTTATTTGAAATGTGCAATTCAAATACGTCTGACTAAGTCGCAATTTTTGCCGGTATTTCAATGCTAAAAAATGCGACTTACTCAGACGAATTTGAATTGCACATTTCAAATAAACCCCCCCCTGATACAGAACTCTCTATCAGCTCATGTAACACAGTTAGAGTTTATCAATTTCAAAAATTTGAGGGAAATTTATGGTGGGTAATCCTTAACATTGTGAGTGAGTTGTTGAACCCGGAATCTGTGACGTACAGTTTAACTCGCCTAGAATTAGGGAATGAAATATTGATTAGATTTTTACGTAGAGTCTACGTCACGTGATATCTTTTTGTTTTAGCATACATGAAAATGATTGTGGATAATTTGTAAATGAAAATGATAATTCAGGTGTGCGAGCACTTACCTAAATAATAGTGACACAATGAAATAGTTATTCCAACCCTTTCAAGCTAATTGGATAACAACATGTAATAATATAGCATTTTCGATAGTTTACAACCAATGATATAATACTACTAGACATAGGCACCCCATTCGTAAAATACCCTTTGTTGTATTGATATTAATGTTTGTTAGCGGCTATTAGGAAAAGAAAAAAATATATTCACAGGACTAATCTGGCATTTTAGCCATAAAGGATTTCGACAAAGCTAATAATGATCAGAGATGTTGTCGACACATATTTGTGTTTATATCTCTCTCCAACTCGTCCATCTGTGATTATAGGTTATTGTTTATGTTTGAACTTTATATACCTATCGAGACAAACTTTTTGACGAGTTTTGTATAGGTACCTTCTATTTTATTTACAATGAATAGGTAATTAAATAGCAATTTCGCCTAAAATAAGTTCCCATTTTCTTATAACATCAGCTTGGGAGGTAATAATAAATTAATCTTAACCATGTCGGCTGAAGCAAAATGCTGCCTGTCTTGAAATCCGGCGGACCCAAATGAGTGTAAATAACAACGTGAAGAGTAAAGTTGCTGGTTGATACTAAGCACATAAATGTTATCCTTTCGGTGAACCTACTGATAACTTTGGATGGATTCACGAATTAATTATTACTTATTGGTATATCTATCAAGTAGCTTGGCAACGGCACAATTGTAGAAACTATTCGAAAAAGAGAAAAAGAAGAAGAGACAAAAAGGAAAAAAAAAAAAAAAAAATAACTAAGAAGTGTTTTTGATAATTCCGTCTAATGAAAAAAGAGGTCCGCTAATTTCTCCGGGAAGAGATAGATTTTATTAGGTAGGTATATGTCAACTAAATAGTTGTAAAACATGTGAATATTATCGAATCGATACATTTTTGCATTGATTTGCATCTAATTTTTTTTCTGAAATTCAAATCAACCCTCTTGAATTAATCTTGAATTAATCCAAACCTCCGATGAACAACGTTCATAAATAGTTATATGTGTAACCAGTTGGGAAAAGCACTATTTTTCGTAACGAACTGATTTCTGCGAAACGAGCGAAGTGAGTTCTGCAAAAGGAAGCGAGTTACGAAAAATAGTATTTCCCAACGTGTTTCACACAATATTTTTTCTAATTTTGTGCATGATGTGATCCTTTTTAATTCAAGGTAAAAGAATAAAAAACCTTCTTCGAATAATTGTGTCTAGATCGTCAAGTGTCAAGTGAGTTCGGAGATGTTTATTTGTTATTTCGTTTTTCGTTGCTATAGAAGCAAGTATTATGTCAACCATAGAGGTGTCAAGTCTGCATTTCCAATTTTCGAAAAAGTGAAAAATAATAATTATTATGGTTCTTATATAAACCACTCAAACTTTATGAAGTAAAAGAAGATTCAGACAGCGACGTAACGAGTGACATTCGTTCGGCTCAATCTGCTTGCTCTAGAATTATTTCTAAGAAGTCAAGGAGCAAATATGATTTGGCCTACGCCAAATTTAATTCATGGTGTGAACAAATTTTTCATAATATGAACAAGAAAGAATATAATAACAATAGTTGAAGTAGTTTAGCCTTAAATTATAACAAATTTTATTTCTGTATTTTTTGCAACTAATGTTGAAATTTACTTTTCATCACGAGTTGCGAAAAATTTTACTTTACGCAACTGGTGATTACACCACCATTAGCCACAATTTTGTATTTCTGTAAGAGCAGTTACAGAGAAAATAATATCAAAATATATTAAGCAAAACACATATCTATGGGTAACAAACCAGAACGAGTTGAGCTGGTTTGCGTAACACTACTTTGAAAGCATTTTCCCGATAAGCAAATATTCATGCAGCATTATCTCGAGGAACCAGAAAATTCAATTTCGAGAGACAAGCCTTAAGAGCACTTCGGAATTTCAAACTGTTAATCGATTTGATAACGTTTGTTCTGGTTACGTGACTGAAAATTGGGAAGTAGATGTTTAGAATGCTGACTTCGTGGCGTTGATTTTATTTCGATGAGACTTGTATTTAAATTTTATAAACAATTTTTTTTTAGTTAGGAATTCTATTGCAACGCTCATATTAAGTGATGTTACTGTAAAAAGGTAGAAATATATTATCACTATTAATTTGATACTTACCACAGTATTTGTACTGGCAGAACTGGACCTATGGTTGACTTTTGATGCATTTGCTGGCGATTGGCTAGAGATCTTATTCTGTGGCGGCCCTTCTCCATTCTTAACGCTTATCTCTAAGTAACAGTGCGGTTCCAGGTGACTTTGTGCGCGTCTCTCCTCATTCACTATTCGTCGTGCCGCCCGGAATATCTTGTAATAGACAAGGATCATTACAGTGAGCGGGATGTAGAAACTGCACATGGTCGCATACACTTGGTAACCAATGTCCTGGGACACCAGACACACGTTGTTGATGATCTCGCCTCCCTCTTCTTTCTGCGTGTGTTCGTTTCCAATGATGAGCAAAGGGGGTAGTGAGATCATCGCTGCCAAACACCACACGAGTACTATCCACACGATCATCCTACGCGGAGTTCGTTTTACGCCGTATTCAAGCGGTTTAGTAATCGCGTAGTATCGATCCACAGAGATCATGCACAGGTTGAGAATCGAGGATGTGCAACTCAGTACATCCAAGCTTACCTGAAATAAATGTAAAAAAAATTGGTTGGCAAATTATTCTGTTTTGAAATAATTGTCACGAAATGCTTGTAAAATAAATATTACATTTTCCCAATGATCCCTTTGAAAGCAAACATAAAAACCAGTCGTTACACTAACAAATAAATCCTTCAAATATCCGGCTTCATCAAAATACCATCATGTGCCATTTTATCACGTCCAAGATTTTAAATTTATACGCATGGACACTATCATGGGACTAAATTTTATTTTTGGCTGGTTTCCAGTAAAATGATGGACTGGGTGAGCGGTTTAAAACGTGAATGACATTCGAATATTTTAGATAAAGGGAAATGGGTAAACTGCGTGCAAGAATATACGTTTCTGCGCCAATAGAATTAGAATTGACAGTATTATTGAAACCTCTGTAGTTTTGAATATTCTGGAATAATAACGTTTAAAATTCTATTTTTAGACATCCAACAGTTGCGTTCGTTTATTTGATCTGTGCGCACCGTGCGCTGGAAATTGTTCGTTTATTCTCTTTGGAGCTTTCCGAGTCTATGCTTGGTTTACCCGATGATCAGCTGTCCTCCGCTCAAGCTCCACACGCTCCGCACTCAGAGCGAATAAACGAACGCAGCTAATAATGCGAATACTTATTAAGGTGGTAACTATGAATAAGGGAAAAAACATATCTGAAAAATGAAATAGTTCTAGGATCAAAAAGGAAAGAATCTGATGATGGTACTATGAGTCGAACTATCACCTTTTCCAAAAAAAGCAGCCAACGAAAGCACATGTTGCAATAACACACCCTGCACATTGAACTTCAAAAAATGTGTATCATATCACAGGAAATGATGAAAAAAGGTGATCAATGAATGAAATGATCGTTGAAGTAGGCATTGCAGTGATTGAGAAAACAATGAAGAAAAAACTGGAATCTGAAAATTAAGGCATATACGAAACTTTTTACAGCGGAAATTCGTAAAGAACTCGGAGCACAACAAGGAATATCGCAAGTAGGTTATACACAGAAAATCACGAAATACGTTAAAACGTGGACAAATTAGTGAAAGAATTGTCAAATTAAATTTGAGTAGAGGAGGAGCTAAGGACAAGTCCAGAACTTTCGGTGTATTTGGCAGTAATGATGAATCAATAAATAGTATCAAGGATAACTCCTACGAACAACTTAGTGAAAAAATAACTGAAACTGGAATATAAGAAACATGAAAATTAAAGTCGAATATCGGTTCTTATCTATTCACAATCCGAAGTCAGAACTAAAGGTGAGATTTATCTCCTCTCAGTTAGTACACTTGATATCCCTAATACAGAAAGTTGGCATCATCAGGTGTAAACCGATGGAAAATTGCGGAATCAAAATTTTCTGGGAATAATTAGTTGAAGCACAAAATATAAATGTAGGTATTATCAAAATTATAAAAACATGTTCCAGTCCTACTTTGTTGTTTTGCAGTTTGTCGTCAAAATATGACACATACCATCTCCTTGCAAAGACGTATCAAATAATTACCATCTCATGCAGGTAATTTGTAGTTAGAAAATAAAAATCACTATCCAACTGGAAGGAGAGATAGGTATCCTAGCTTAAGTTCTGACTTCGTATAGTGAAAATATAATAGGTATATCATTATAATACAAAAACTAACTTTAAAAACCAAAGATATACGGGTGTACAGAAGCAAAATAGGTGGAAGTTACCTGGACATAATATACAATATTCACGGAAAGGACCAAAAGGACGCAAATGTAAAATTTAAATAAAGGTAGAAGGCGAAAGTGAAAGCACGAAAATATAACATAAAAAGCTTAGACAAAGATAGTAGGTACTGAAAGACTTTATGAAATCCGTCTGAATGATGGACTATTGAAGGAGAGAAATTTCAAAGATATAAATGAATTCCTAATACGAATACCTAAAAGAGAAGATATGAATGAAACAGCTTTTGAAGTTTTCAGGTTTGCCAGTTATGAGCCGTGTGATTAGACAATAAATTTTCTCCTGTGTCTGAAACATAGTGAAAAAAAAACGGACAGCATGTAATATAAAATTATTAACACTAGGTATTTTCTTCATAATATCATATTATACGACACACGCAACAATGCATATTGATTTTCTCAAATTGAAAATCTCGGTGCATGCTTCCTAGATTACGTAGAATATGACTTCTTAATTCCGTTGTTTTTTCAGACTGCTTTAGTTTTACATCAAGTATCTTTTACATTATACAGATTATAGATACAGTTGACTCTATTACTTTGTGACCACCAGGCTCTCGTGAATTGAGCTAAAGGGCTATTTGACTAACTCTCACCGAACTAATCAAGTTTTATCACAGAAAACGGACGCCAGTACCTCGCCTTCCAATCTTATACCCTGGTGCAAAACCATTGGTAACTAATACCGATTTCCATTTCCAGTTTCAGTGCAAAAAAAATGTATCTCCATCCTTCAATTTCACATGCTTTTAGAAAAAGATGCGAATATACTCAGTGCGCACTGATTGACAAATGGAAATCGCCATTAAAGTTACAAGACAAGAATTCCGTTTGTGTATCCTAGGTTCGATGAACACTATAAGTAGGTACCACAACAGTGAAGAAAACATTCCTGGCATAGTTATTATTAGGAGTTTTAGAAGATGCAGTACAAAATACGAGTTATCATTTAATGTTCCAGGACCTTGAAAAGGAGGGATACTATATTGTTATGTTTGTTATATTTGCATATACAGTATATGTATCTATTTAGCACTTGAAAGTGCCAATCTGTATAAAAATAACCGAAAGACAAACGAATACCAATAGAATGTGCAGAATTATAACATTTTTTGTGTTCCTCGATGTTTGATGAAGGAAATAGATTTAGGAATGACTTATCTCCTAAGGTAAATAAGCCAATGTGCAAAACAAAAAAATTTCCAAGCTTGTAGCACGCTGTTTTGCATCGACTATTATATCAACTTTATGCCTGGACTATGTGCACTAAACATACAGTTCCATCATTATCCCATTTCAACACAGAGAACATAGAGTTTGCTTTACTTAGTTTGTGCTTAATTCGTTTCCACGATATTGAGTTATCTCTTTTCGCGAGTTTTTATTTAAAAAACTAATAATATTTTCAAGAATCTTTTCGATTTTTAAAATACGTGAAAAATTTCCCCCACAAGAGAGCTTTTACGGGTTTTCCATGAATGGAAACATCCATCAATATTACCTTCCCCTTTTCAGTTTGGAGTTATAATGCCGTTTTATATAAAACCCCGCTCAAAGTATTAGGCAGGTATCAAATAAAACAAAATGCAGGGTTCGAAGGGGAAACTTATTATATCAAAGCTGCTTTAGCAATTTATGCGCCCTCTTTCACCGATAGAATGTTAGTAACGTTCCCTCCTCTTTCTTATGGGATCTTTCTTTATCTGTACCTAAAGATAATCTTGTTTGGGTTAAGATAAGCTTATACGACAATTTGATTTTTTGGGTCAAACGTAATTTATAAGTAAAATAGATCCGAAACTGTCTGGAAGAATCTTATGCCATGTGAAAAATCCTTGGAGCAAACGTAAATAGAGATTTAATTATCCTGGGAAATAGATATTATTCCACGGCGACAGATTCTCTATAGTCAACTGAAAGACGGAAATTGAAATTAGGGAGGTCAACAAAAACGCTACAAGGATGTTCTTAGGAAGAATATGGTAGAGTGCCGCATCGATACCAGCAACTGGGAGACGACGGCGAATGATAGGTCCTCATGAAGTCGAGTAGTCCACGACGGACTACAAACTCTTGAAGAACAGCGACACAGACACGAGACCGAAAAGAGATGTTTTTTAGAAATGTGTTTTATTCAACAACACATTGAACACAAGGACAGACATACAAAACTTGAAAATTATTTTCTCAAATTTACTTCTTATTCACAAAAACAAATAATCCTGAACTGTTATGTACCATGTATGTACCTTAATTTTAATTGTTATACAGGCAAACTGACACAATTTTGTCAAAAATCATTATTTCACAATTTTCTTAAATAATCCCTGAGCATTTTTGGGAATGTTTATACAAGATTTATATTTTAAGAACTTATTTTGAACTCGCTTTTGTAAGTATCTATCGTTTTTATATTGTTTTCTATTATATAATTTTTTTTTAGTTGTACTGAAGAAGTTGAATAAACTTCGAAACCTTTACGAAAAAAAAGGCTCTTTCTTTATTATTGGCCTTATCTCCTCAAGTATTTTTTCATCAATATACAGGGTGCTCCTAAATATCATGTACAGGGTCTTTCCCCATATATTGACCCGCTCACTACAGGGGTTATGTGAAGAGATATCAAGAAATGGTAAATAGAAAAGTTTTGGTGTTTTACCTGAATTTTCGAATCCGATGTCAAAAACTTTTTTGTATTTTTAGAAATGTCAAATTTTGACAGATGGTCACACACCCTATATATGACTTTGCAGTTGAAAAGAGTCGATTTTTTTGATTTCAAATATATATGATTCAACTACCTACTTTTAATTGAACCGTTTTGGAAATATCGGACTCTAAACTCCAAGAAAATAATACATTGAAACATCAGCTCTGTTCCAACCGACATGAGAACCGTTCCAAAACGGTAATTTTCAGTCGCTCAATTTATTTGTCAATTAGGATAAACCTGTAACTTATAGAAAAATAGGTGGGCAACTGGAAATTACCTACCGTTATAAAATGGTTATCATGTCGGTTGGAGCACAGCTGATGTGTTTCAATGCTTTCTTGAAGTTTAGAGTCCGATATTTCTAAAGCGGCTCAATTAAAAGTAGTTAAACCGTATATATTTGAAATAAAAAAATAGACTCTTCTCAACTATGAAATCCTATACAGGGTGTTCCATAAGAAAAACTGACCATCTGTCGAAATTTGACATTTCTGAAAAAACAAAAAAGTTTTTGACATCGGATTCAAAAATTTCAGGTAAAGCCCCAAAACTTTTG